GAAATTTCACAAGTTTCAAAATTAAAACCGATAATTTTCTTTAGCATCGCAGCAACGGTTTTTGCACACTAAGCGACCGTATTCAACACATTCCCCGATGGTGAAGATACGTAATGCAGGAAAAAAGCACTATCATAAAAACTATAAGAGGAAACAAAGGACTGGAGATCCAAGGCCAGCGATTGAGTTACAATGACTCAATCCGATTTGACAAATAATTAGCCGCATCCAAACATTCCCTAACGAGATCTTTTCAAAATGTCCAGAGGAAGAGGACACTTGGAAGGGGGGCGGGGGGGGGGGTTATAAATTAGAATGAAGAAGACACTATAAGCGCTCCGGCAAGATGTGAAGCAGCAGGTATAATTCAATCAGGGCATTTAGAGGGGGAAGAGAAAATTTAAAGAAACAAGGAAAATGCCTATATGCCGATGCTTTATAATCACTTCCAATTAAGTGGCTTGTTAACCGCGGACTACTGCTGGTCAGTGTTTTATGCATTAATGACTATTACTATGGCTGATGCAGCGTTGTCATTTTATGGGGACTAATCTTATCCTCCTCTTTATCTCTAATCAGCATGGTGTTATTGCGGAGAATAATTCAATTTTTCCGTGACAATCAATCTAAAGCAGGCGGTTTTTACGGTCGCAAAATCATTTATGATATTTTTCATCGATTTTCTCTACAATATAAATCAAGGAATTTTCACGCGAAAAATGGCAACATTAGGTTGTGCTTGCAGCTGAGCGTTAATTCAGCTAATCAACCAATAAACAGGTAAGAGGGTAATAATATTCACTATTCTCTATTGCCTAATAAAGCATGATCTCCCGATTATTAGAGCTGCTACCATGAGACATTTATTTCATTAGGTGGTCCAAAGAACTCCTCTCAGTTATCCCTTGTTTCATGGCCACAGACTAGACAAGAATTTATGGAGGATATTAAAATTTATTCCGTCAAGATTTTTACTTTTGAAGTTCATAACAGTTATTTCTTCTTCTTTCTTAAACAGAAAAAGAAAGGGAGCAAGAAAGGATGAAAATGTAACGTTACAATTTTGTTTGTTTATTTTCGTTCATATGAATTATCTTAATGCAGCTCAGCTATGAGTCTTGATTACTGAATAATTTTATATTTCACGGAAAGCTTGGTACTTGGATCGATCGTTGACTGGACGTATTTCTGCCAAATGGAACTATGTGCATTAAGACATGAGCCCTGAGATCCATAAGAATATATGTGTAACAGGGCTCGCGTCATAATGCACATAGTTCCGTTTGGTAGATATACATCCAACTAATTTGACCATTTCTAAAATTTATAGTATTTTTTCTATGGTGCTTTCATGAAAATTATTGAATCGCATTTTTTTTACAATCAAGTAGACGATTACTCCAAACTTTATGTATTATTTGCAAAATGTATTACTTTAAGCTTGCGGGCTGAGGGAAACAGGGGAAATTTCTACAAAAATGTAACAAACTCTGTCTGCAAATTGTGAAAAACCACCAAGGGATCTTGTGGATATCTAAATTACTAAATGAATCGAGAATTCAAGTCCGTAAGCTAAAGTACCTACACTCTATTTTAACGTCTTGTTACCACCTCCAAATATAGAGCTACGGCAGGAAACTTGTTATGCAGCTCAATCTCGTTTTAAGTATACCGCTAAGTCTCTTTCTTGGCTCGGTTTTAAAAATGGTATTCGAAAGAACAACGATCAATGTAACTTTAACTAATGCAATAATGGAGTAAGAATAAAATCGCTCCAAAACAGATCGTTTTCGTGAGTGAAGCCGTGGGTGTCTAGATTGACGAAATGATTTCAATGAATATTTTCCGCTCCATTAAATAAAAAAAAACCCATTCCGAAGATCTTTTAGGAAACCGCGAAAATAGCTCAAATGAGGACAATAATCATAAAACTGAGATCGTTAATTTTTAACTGTTATCACCGGACTAATCAAGAAAACAATGACACATGGTTGATGACAAAAAGTAGTGGTCCACAAAAATCACATAAAAACCCACTAATGTTATGTCAGATTTTTGGATGATGAGTTCTTTGTAATGATGCCTCTCAAATGGACTGCATTAAGAAACAAAGTGTAATCTACATCTTGACACAAGTTCTTAGTCGGACCCGAATACATCATCGTTAAACGGCATGCCAAAATATATGGACGTATTTATGCTAAAAGGAACTATGCGCATAGGAATTGCGTGAGACATAGCTCCTTTTAGCATAAAAACGTCCATATTGATGTCACTTTATCCAACTCAAGTGATCCACGAGACTCTACGCGCGAATGGAATATTTTGATGGAAACTGCGAAAAGCTTTAAACCCACTGAAAATCGGATGGAACCATTAAAATTTGACTGTGCCTCTTTTCGTCTCCCGACACCGAAATTCGCTCAATTTTTTACGGCTGCAGTGAAATATTCGTATTTAAATTAGTTGTTTATTGGTTCGGCCGCGGAAGTGTGTTTCAGATCTGGAGGCTCGTCAGATCTTGCTCTCAGCCACTCTTGCTAGTCCCAAGTCCATATATCTTTTTTGTGCCGGCGGTTTTTGCCTAGCGCACATTTTTTTTTTGCCTGCCTACGGTTTCCATATGCTAGGAATAGAGGATATTTGCATTGAATCGCCGTTAAAATTTATTCATGCAAAAAAAGTAGATGACTTGATACTGATTATGAAACACACGTTGGATCCCTACGAAATAACCAAAAGCTCCATCGAGCTCCAAAACAAACGAACCATATTTCATTTGGTTTTTTGTTTTGTTTTTGTCTTTTTTTTATAGGCCTAACTAACTTAAAACGAGTCTCATATATCTTTAAGTAAATAAATAAATAAAGAAAATGAACAAATAAACATAAGCTTTCAATTTCGTTTGCTTGCAGGGGTGACTCTTGGAGAAAACTCAAAGAATTCAGAAGTAAGAATGAAATGTTATCTTATTTTGTGTCTTTGACCTTACTTCGTATTAATTTTCAGCTATTAATTCATTTCTCAAGCTAAGATTGTCAGACCTATTTTCAAATTGTAAACACGTATCCAAAACTAGTGTCTAATTGACATAACTTGGCCAAAAATTCTTATCGTTCAGAATTGTGCATACATATTTAAACTCATAATTGAGATTTTAATACCACCCCTCTGTGCATATTTAAAAAAATCTAGTTCTTTTGAAGGACTATAGGGCAAGAGACTGGCTCGTGATACAAATCTTAAGATAGATCCATACAGTTTTTTGAAAGGTACAAACCAACGCTTTGAAAAGCCTCCTGAAGTTGTGAGTTAGTTGTTCTACTGACGATAACCTAAGAAAATAAAATTCAAGATAGATTTCAATGAGGAACATTTTTCGAAACCTAGAGCTTTCTAAACGTATGATTTGGTTGATTGACAATCTAATTGATGCAAAAAGAGATTGCACTAAAGGAACGTTTAAAAACATAATAAAATTATTACCCTACGTACTCGAGAGATTTAGGACCAGTTTCAAGAACCCCACTTGTATGCGATTTCCCAGTTGGTTATTGAATGAGTAATCAATATATATAATATCTATATATTGTCTAAAAATTGTTGGACCTTCCAGGATCAGTTGTAGTCGTGGTCCTAACAGAGGACCTTATCAAACGGAAAGCTGAAAATCGGCCCCGAAGACTGATTTTTAGGTACGCAGAATATGTTTCATCGGAGATTATGGAGAAGATCATGACTCATTAATGGAAACACTTGTAAAAAAAGGATTTTACTAGAAGATCTAAAAAATCGCTTCTACATACGAGAGGATATTATGAGAATCTCAATTTGAAACATATCATAATTTTCAAACTAATTTCAAATCAAAACCGGAGTAAATTGATAATGGATGATTTGGAAGTCCTGTGCTGGAGCGTGCTAAATTTTAACTTCAAAGTCATATGAACTTGTTACGTAACCCCATCTTCTACTATAATGTTTGCATACATGTATTTGTGCCTTAAATTCATATACCTGCACTTCTCGGAAAATCAATGGTCAGGCTAGGAGGCATTAGAGATTTTCAATAAGTACAAACAAGCGGAGGTTTCAAAACCGGTCCTAAGTGTTCAAATCTCCTCATAGACGTGAAAAGAGCTGCTTCGCGGCGGAATAATAAAACCTTCAGTGATATGAGCGACATCATACCGATATTATACCACATCAGTACCGGCATGCGTTATATCAATGCTAATGCATGCAGTTATCAGCAAAAATAAGTCAGTATCCTTCCTACTTGTTTGGATGGTATTCATAGGTAGGAATTTGACCATTGAATGTACGTAACTGAAATGCACTCGGAATAGAGAATGGTGACCAGTTTGAATTTTGTAGCCCTTTCTTCAATTAAAGATGCAAAATGTCAATCACTAGCTGTGCGAAGAAAAAATTCCGTAGGAGGTTTCAGACGTTGCCATATTTTCGTTGACGAATTAAGAATTTGCGAGAAAATTTAAAAGTATTTTTCTCCAAATTTCTTAGAAAATTTGGTTCGTAATTTGATCTAAATCATCTAAAATTTCAATGTATGCATTTTAAAAATAAATTTTTTCTTGGAGGAAATTTAGCAACGTCCGAATCTGCAAAGTTGCGTTTAAGACACTCTTTTTCCACCTTAGACATCGATATTCGCCCTAAGGGCAGATCTATTTGAATCTAATTTTCTAATCAATTCTTTTTTGTTTGAAAAAAATCTTAATTTTTCTTTTTTCTCAGAGGATCCCACAAACGACGGCGACCAAAACGAAACTGGCCACCACCCTTTTGACCATTTGACGTTTTAACGCCAAAATTGGCTGGTTAAGCTATTAAGACATGGTAAATGATATACCAAACCAGCTAAAAGCCATAAATATTTGACTTAAAAATTTTAAAAATTTATTTGACTTTTAAAAAAATTAAAATGATAAAAAAATTAATTTTTTTTTCAAAATGTTCTAAAGCTAAATTTTGGGCTCTTAACTCGTTTGATATATTACTTACTAAGCCTGAACCATTTGATGGACGTGTGCCGTGTCACTCATATCCACCGGGACCATTCAGACCGCCTCTTCACACCTAACCTCTCTCCCGAAGTCGGAGAGCTGACGCCAAGCGGGACGGAGGTCCTGACTAATGATATGCCTGCGGGATGGCCCCTCGGCTATCAGTTATTGACGTGCCGCTTCATGTGGAGCGAGAGGTGGTCCGAGCGCGAGAAAGCCCTATCGCACAGCCGGCACTGGAAGGGTCTATCCCCCGTGTGCTTGCGGTAGTGCCGCGTCAGCTCATCAGAGCGCGCGAACTTCCACCCGCAGCCTCCCCAATTACACTGGTAAGGCTTTTCGCCGGTGTGGGTGCGTAGGTGGGCCTTGAGGTGCGAGGACTTGGTGTAGGTCTTCCCGCAGCCCAGGTGGTAACACGTGTGGTTGGTGATCTTCTTCCGGGCCACCAGCTTCCTCTCCTTCTTCGGCTTGTCGGCTTTGCTTCGCGGCGG